TCAGCAGCACAAGTGCCTGCGTGGCAAGTGCAAGGTCTTGAGTTCAATTCCTGGTATCAAAAAAAAAAGACCAAAGAAGGCCAGGCTTGGTGGTGCAAACCTGTAATCCCAGCACTCTGGAGGCTGGAGGCTGAGGCAGGAGGATCGTTGCGAGTTCGAGACCAACCTGGGCTGCAAACTGAGCTCAAGGCCAGCCTGAACTGCATAGTGAAACCGTCTCAAAAAGACAAAAAAAAAAAAAAAAAAAACTATAAACAGTTTAACTAAGTGGAGAGATAAGTAAAGCGATATTCCATGCTCATAGATATATTGTCATTGTCAGCTCTTCTCTTCATTTATAGGTTCAATGCAAACTCAGTAAAAACTCAGCAAGCTATTTTGTCACTTTCAATAAACTGACTCTGAGAAAGGCAAACAACCCAGAATAGTTGACCCAGAAACAAAGGGAAAGAAAAGACAAGGTGTGGGGGTGCTTGGCTACAATTCCAGCATTTGAGCAGCTGAAACAGGAGGATCACCCTGCGTTTGAGGCCAGCATGGGCTGCACAGTGAGTGAGTTCAAGGCCAGCATGGACTACCAGTGAAACCCTCTCTCAAAAAAAAAAAAAAGCAAGTTAGAGGACTGACACCACCGGACTCACAGTGTGCTGCTACTGAAAGACACAAGTGATAAAAGAGACAAACAGATCAGAATACAGAGCCTAGAAATAGATTTGCATGACTATAACCAAGCAGTCTTCTGTTTTGCTTTGCTTTGTATTTGAGAGGAGATCTCTATCCAGTCCAGGCTGGGGTGGAACTAGGAATCCTACCCACCTCCACCTTGGGATTCCAGACGCAGGGATTACAGGTGCGCACCACACCCACTGCATCAACAAACACCACAGCAGAGCGATGGTCCTGCGCTGTAATTGCAACTATCTGGGAGGCTGAGATGGAAGGACTGTGAGTTCAAGGACAGCCTGGATAGACAAGTTAGCAAGACCTTAGATATTTTTCTGTCTTCCCCCTCTGTACTAGGATTGAACCTGAGAAGCACTGAACAACATCTCTAACATTGCTTTTTTTGGACACTGGCTCTAAACTGCCCATGCTGCCCTTGAGCATTCAATTCTCCTGTAAAGGTCTAGGCCGCCATGCCATGCTTGCAAAAGACATATCTGATAAAGGATCCTTAACTGAAATACAACTCTTGAGATTGTGACTATAATTCAGAGATAGGGGACTTGGCTAGCACTCCTGAGTTCAGCCCCCAGCATTACAAGATTGGAGGGTGGGGGCGCTTCAAAATTCAACAGCCAAGCCGGATGTGGTGGCGCACGGCTGTAATGCCAGCACTCAGGAAGCTGAGGCAGGAGGATCGTTGCGAGTTCGAGACCAGCCTGAGCTACAAAGTGAGCTCAAGGCCAGCCTGAACTGCATGGTGAGACCCTGCCTCAAAAAGACCAAAAAAAAGAGAAAAAAGAGAAAAAAAAAAAAAAAAATCGCAGTCAGAATGCAAAGTACTCAGTTACAAAGTGGGCTGGGCGTGGTGGTGCACACCTGTAATCCCAGCACTCAAGAGGCTGAGGCAGGAGGATCATAGCAAGTTTGAAGCCAGCCCGGGCTACATAGTAAGTTCAAGGACAGCCTGAACTACAGAGTGAGACCCCTGTCTCCAAAAAGAAAGGAAAAAAAATTTTAAGTGGGCTAAAATCTTTGACAGACAGCTCATTCAAAGACGACATATGGCTGGCAAATAAGCATTGGGAAACATCCTCCACATCAAATGTCGTCAGGGAAACACGAATTGAGGGGACAATGAGGTATCATCGCACACCTATTAGACAGACTGGACTCCAGGAACTGCCAACACCACAGGCCAGCAAAACGGCAGCCACAGTGCTGTCATGTGCTGCGGCTGCTAGAGCCACTGTGGAAGTAGCTGGCAGTTTCTTATAAAATTAAACTTACTCTACCCTATAACCAACAACTACCTTTTCTCTGTTTGTTGTAGCCACGATTTACAAGGGAAAGGATTTAATACAGAACACGTAGTTTATCGATTATAAGTAATGTATAGGATTCACCCAGAGAGTCAAATGCAAAAAGGTACAGAAGATCCCTGTCCACTAGAGACCCACAGAATCCAGCTGAGGACCTGGACATCCCACAGTAATGTCCTCCACGAGTCCAGCTGGAGGCCTGGCGCCCCTGACAATGTCTCATGGAAGTCTGTACCAAGGATCTGCACTGGGAAGGCCCAAAGGTCAGTGGTGGAAGCCAGAAAGTCTGTGCCAGCGGGATGAAGGATCTGTGCTAGCAGGCTGAGGGATCTGCACTAGAGCCAGGAAGTGACATGCTCGTTCAGTTCAGCTGGGCGTTACAAGTTGACCACTAGTTAATCCACCACACTATTCACCCAAAGGGGATGAAGCTCACGTCCACACATACACGTATACATGAATGTTCGTAGCAGCTGACCTTCCTAACTGCGAAAACGGGAAGTGCTCAAAATGTCTTTAGGAGATGAATACATACTACACACCCAGACCATGGAGTACTATTCAGCACTACAGGGCAATGAGCCAGCAAGCCATGAAAAGCTATGGAAGAGACATAAATGCATATCATTAAGTGAACAAAGGTAATCTGAACTGGCCATAAACTCTGATTCCAACTGTAGGTCATTCTGGTAAAGGCAATCCACAGATGAGTGGTTGCCGGGGGTCCTTAGCAGAGCGACATTGCCCTGTATGATACTAGGAACGGCAGACACAGGTCTCTTGACATTTTTCCAAACCCACTATACAAGACCAAGAGTAAATTCTACATAAACGATGGAGCAAGGGCAGTAATGTGTCAAGTCTGATTCATCCACTGTGACTCTGGGGAGGTTCGCACGGAAGGAACAGGAAGTGGATGGGAAATCCTTACCTTTCACTTGATTTTATTGTAAACCTAAAACCACTCTAAAGTAAAGTCTATTTTTTAAAATAGAATGAAGCACTGATGCTACAGCATGGATGAATCTCCAAAACATACTAAGTGAAAGAAACCAGACACAAAAGGTCTCACTTCATGTAATTCCATTTAAGTGAAATGCTCAGAACAGGCAAACGCATAGAGAGAAGATAGGAGCTGGGGTGGGGAGTGGGGCGGACTGCTAAAGTGTAGGGCTTTTTCAGGGTATGAAAATGTTCTCCAGCCAGGCATGGTGGTGCACACCTATAATCCCAGCACTCGGGAGGCTGAGGCAGGAGGATCATTGGGAGTTCAAGAAGCCCAGCCTGGGCTACAAAGTGAGCTCAAGGCTAGCCTGAACTGCATAGTGAGACCCTGTCTCAAAAAAAAAAAAGACAAAAAAAGAAAATGTTCTCCAACTGTTTGTGGGAATGGATGCACAATTTCGTGAATATTCTGAAAACCACCAAACTACACAAAATGTAAACTGGTAGAACGCATAGTATGTGAATTACATCTCAATATAAGTTGTCTGAAAAAAATCTAAATACATAAATTAGTAAGTTTTGAGAGGATAAGGCAGGAGGATTTGAAGTCTGAGGCCAGCCAGGCAATTTAGCCAGACCCTTTCTCCAAAAGAAAAAAAAAGGCCTGGGGTATAGCCCAGTAGTGGGGCACCTGCCTAGCATGTTTGAGGGCCTGAGTGCAATCCCAAGAACAGCATACATAAATAAATAAAGATAAAACACAGTAAATGCGCACCTCAGTGGCCTGGTATAGAGTACAGGTTCTATGTAATATAAACATGTATATTTAAATCCTGGTTAAAATCTTAGTTTCATCATTATTGCAATTAAAGAAAAGGAGTTTTTACTTATTAAAGCCTGCACAAGTCCCAAAAGTGCATAAATTTCCAGCTTCTTTGGATCTGTCCTGATATCCAATAAAGGAGAACAAAACCACAAAGCCAAAAGTCCTAGAGTGAGAATAAAAAAAATAAGAGTCCTGGAATAATACCCTATGTGCTCTGGCTAATGACAAAAAACAATGAAAATCTGGGCTTTTTTTTCCCCCTGGTACTGAGGATTGAACAAAGGGTCTTCGAACTGAGTTACATCCCTAGCCCTTTTTTGTATTTTTGAGACAGGGTCTTGCTAAGTTGCACATGAAAGGCTCAAAGTTGTGATCTTCCTGCCTCAGTCTCCCAAGAGTGTTAGGATCACAGGCATGTGCGACCACAGCCAATTAAAACTTGAGCTTTTTTTAACACACACACACAACTTAAAATGCTCACCTGGGTCTCACAAAGAGTGAGTATTGGGGCTGAGGGGAGCAGAGAAGGCACTCAGAGCTAGTCTGGGGAAACGTTTTTTCTGAGAGTTAAAGGCCTACTTGCTGGACGGGGGATGAACAATGGAAAAAGCAGCTGAGCCCAAACCCCTGCCTTGTGTCCCTACGCTCCTAAGGGTGTCTCCATCGGCTTTGTGCACCGCTTCTCTCCCACGCCAACTGCAGGCTGCAGTGAGGACCACGTGACCATTTCCGTTTCCCATCTACCTCATCAGCCAGGTTCAAGATAACCAGCAAGCGGTCAAGAAACAAAGCACACTCGCAAATAGTGACTCTCAGGGTAATGGGTACAAAATGAGAGAACCCTCAGCTCTACAGATTCCCTGAAGCATTCTCCAGGGAGTGAGCTCCCTAACAGACAGACACGCGGACACCTGCAATTACAGGCTTTCCGCAGCGGGTGACTTCGAGGCTGCAGGAGGGCAGTGTCAGCCACCCCGCTATCCCCACAGGCAGCAACCGTCCACCCGCTGCAGAGCACAGCAGACGAGCAGCTCACAGAGTAGATCTCCCCTCCCAGTAAGGAATCCAGACGAAACACGGATTTCACTGGGAGACACCTCCGGGAAACTGAAGCCAGAGACGGGACAGCTTCAGCGACACCCTCCTCACGCCAAGGGGTTAGCAGGGGTGCAGAGCCCGCACCCGCGGAGACGGAGACCGAGGCAGCTGGCGTGCAGCGGAGCATGGAGAGGTTGGGCCCTCACCTCGGGAATCAGCCGCCTCCTCTTCACACTGGAGACACAGTCTGGCTGGCCGTCGCCACCCAGCTGCCGGCGTTTGCTGGACACTTGGAGGGCGGTGAAGACGCTGTCCAGAGCGTGCTTCTCTGCGGTCCTGGAGCTCAGCGAGCAGTCCAGAGCAGCATCCTCGCTTTCCGTCTCCACCTTCACAGTGTTACTTTTTAGAACTGCAGCAGAGAAGAAATAGGGCTCAGTGGGAAAGATCAGGCCTGCTCTGCTGAGACCAGCAGGCCTTCGTGGGCCACCCGCTAGCCGCGCCCCGCAGAGGATGAAGTCTGATCACAACCCTGTGCTTTCCAGCTGAGAGATTTTTTTTTTTTTTTTTTTGTCTTTTTGAGACAGAGTCTCTATATGAAGTTCAGGCTGGTCTTGAGCTCACTTTGTAGCCCAGGCTGGTCTTGAGCTCGAAATGATCCTCCTGCCTCAGTCTCCCGAGTGCTGGGATTACAGGTGTGCCCCACCACACCCAGTGATCCAGCCATGTGATCTTTAACTGACTGTACTGGGGCTATGCAATAAAACTGTGTTCCAAGCTCAAAATTGGTTTAAAAATCTTTTGGGGGAAGGCAGGAGATAAGACAAAAATAACCAAATATTATCTTTCTGTTGCTACTAAAACGTAATTCCAGGTTGGGTGTAGCGGGACAGATTTGTAATCCCAGTACTATGGGAGGCTGAGGCAGGAGGATTGAAAATTCAAGCCCAACCTTGGTGACTTATTAGCGACTTAGTAACACCCGACACCTGTCTCAACACTTGTCTCAAAATAAAAAATGAAAAAGGGCTAGGGATAGAGCTCAAGGCAAAGGTCCTAGGTTGAATCCACAACATCACAAAAGAAGTAACTGAAAAACTCCATAAGATGCTTACAACAGGTGTGTGGGTAGAGGCTAGTGGGAACGAGGGGTAGAAGGAAACTTTCCTTACTTTTTTTTTGCAGTACCAGGGATCAAACTCACAACCTTGCACTTGCCAGACAGGCGCTTATGCCACTGAGCTATATCCCCAGCCCCTTACTTATCTTTTTATATTTTTGAGCTGTGTGAATATATGTGGCCTACTCAAAAATGTTAAATTAAAAACTTTTACCTTCTTCTACATCTTCACTGAATTCAGCTGAGTTCATCTTCTATTCCACTAAATGAAAAGACAAAAAAGTCTTCATTTATTGCTTGATTTTTTCCTTATTGTTCCCTACCCACAGAGAAAACCCTAACCCGAAGCCCCAGCTCTGGGGAAGAGGAGGCTGGGGACTCCGGGGCACCGTGAAGGGACACGTTCTCTCAGTGGGGCCAGGCCTGCAGGTGCCAGGGAGGGGCAGGCGCTGCCTCCATGGCTAGGATTCAGGCCCTTCTCAAGCCTTCTTGGGGACAGAACACACCGGAATACCCACGAAATGCCACTTACTGGCCACGGGAACATTCTCTCAGCAAATCAGGTCTTAGAAAAGCCCTCGAAATGGATGTTCCTCTTTTGGTCTCTGCTTATAAATCCTAGGCATGAAATGAAAGGCTAAAGAAGGGCAGCTGTGAATTCCAATAAATCAAGCTGAGTCCTTAACACCCCAGGTAGCCGAGAGACCCGTGGCCACAGACGACTCAGAATGTGGCCAGTGCAAATGGCAATGCACTAAATATAAAATACATACCAGATTTCAGGCTCAGCCTAGTAACCGGGATATAAAACATTGTGTTAGTAGTTGCTTGATACTGATTGTATGCTGCAGTGATAGTATTGTGGGCTTACGGGCTAAATAGAATACTTCATCAAAACAAATGGCCTATTCTTTAAATGTGGTTACTAGAAAATTTTAAACTATACGTGGGGTTCCGTTGTATTTTTACTGGGTGGCACTAAGCCAGCCCCTCCCACAGAAGCAACAAGGAGAGCTTGGCGCAGGTGAGGGCTTCAGAGCACACTCGGTTGCTCCCAGCAGACCTGGGGAGGATGAGCCAGGAAGCACGGCGCGGTGCTCTTAGCAGAGCCAGCCCTGACTGCTGCTGCCACGGGCAGCAGGGAGCCTACACCACCGTCACTACCACAGCTCGGCGTTGGAGTCCCTCCAATCCCACGCGGCATGTGCAGTAAAAGGCCCAGGCACGAATGAGGTAGCGATATTTGAAACAGAAGTTCCAAATTGCAACCTCTAATGTTGCTGCTGTGTAGTTGTGGTTCCCACAATGATTCAGGTGACTGCAGACACAGGTTCCCCGCCCTCCCGGTACCAGGGATCAAACTCACGACCTTGCGCTTGCCAGGCAGGCGCTTAATGCCACTGAGCTATACCCCCAGCCCTGAGAGAGTTCTCATTTTTGTTAAAGAGCACAGGAAGGACTACGAAACATCTCTCGTGACACTTCTTTCAGAGATGCCAGCTACGATATTCAGTAAACATGAAAGGGGTGGCCCTGGAATGATGTGTGTCCAACACAGTGCAGCGACAGCCCTCCGTTTTAGAGGGGCAAACGACGTGGTGTAGGTGGCCTTGCACACAGTAGTGACTTCAAAATCCACTAAGCATGGGGAGAGGTACAAGGTGTGTCTGTGCAGTACTGTCCTCGGAGCACCCCAATTACACTGCGACAGGCACAGTTCTTTTCATCCCTGAATTATACTACCTTTCAGAGCACTAAGAGAAAATAAGATTTGAAATTAAAAATAATTCCTGCTCATAAAGCTGTCTCCTGTCTGAAAAACACCCAAAGTACATTGTTACTGAAGGAAAACACTAAGTCAACTTCAAGGATCCGTGCACTGTTTTATCAGGCAAAGTTCAGCAATTCTTCCATTGTACTTCAAGAAATAAAGCTCGCCTGTGCGCTGGGTATGCCTGAGGGCACAGAAGAGCTGGCCAGGCCAGGTACAAAGTCACCGGCTCCGGCCCAGCCAGGGGCTTAGCAGGAAACACTGCAGGTCAGCCGGTGCCCTCAGAAGCTGCCACACAATCACACATCGATCCCCTCCCAACAAAGGCGAGAGTGAGGAGCAGAACGGAACGCAGTTGGAGGCAGGCAAGGATACAGGTTACATTCCTGAGATTAAAAGCAGGAAACAGGAGAGATGGCAGATGATTTACTTGAGGAAAAGAGGTGATGGTGAAAAAATACTCCAAAGATTCTGGCTAAGCAGAACAGTGTTAGAAAAATAAGCAAGCTGGGCCTGCAATCCCAGCACTTGGGAGACAGGTAGGAGGACTGCCCTGACTTTGACGCCAGCCTGGGTTACATACCAAAGACCGTGTTTCCAAAAAATAAAACTCAATCAATCAATAAGAGGGTGAGTGAACACTAGAAGAAAGGGAATCAAAACGCCAAGTGCAGTGGTGCACACTTACAACCTCAGCACTCTGGGAAGCCGAGGCAGGAGAACTGCAAGTTTAAGCCCAGTTTGGGCAATTTATTAACTTGGCAAGTCTCCCTGTCTCAAAAATAAAAGGTAAAAAAAAGGACTGAGGATGTAGCTCAGTGTGAGGGCCCCGGGTTTAATCCCTAGTACCTAAATAAATAAATAAATAAATAAATAAATAATAAAAACCCTTAAAAAAAGAAAAAACAAAAAAGATTGGATGAAAGAGCACAACAGAGAATAGAGGGACAGAGCAAGAAGGCGCCGTTTATCTGCCATGAAATTCGCCCACCCATGTTCCTCAGGCACCTGTCAGTAGGGCACTGCGTGAAGTTACATCCAGGACATTGCAGTGGCAAATTAGCACCCCACTGGTGAAGCCCCAGAAGTGACATGGGAGCATACACAGCCCCTGCACATGGGTGGAGGATGCTAAGGATCCCGAAAGCTTGGGGCAAGGTTGGAGGCAGGGCCAGCTGCCCGAGCATCCAAGACACCCAGCGCGCGTCTGCCTGGGAGGACACTTCGAACTCTTGCAGACAAGCGGCAGATGCTAGGTAAGCAAGGAAGCAACCCCCAGCCCTCCAGAGGGCCACCTGCGGGCCAGAGGGCCGGCCTCCCCCTGCGGAGTCAGGTGAAGGTCCTCCTCACATCGCAGCCCACGATCTGCAGGCTGAGTGCCCAGTGCCACTGCACGCACACCTCCGCCTGGCTGTGAGCTACCTGAATCCCAGTGTCACCATGAAAGGAACCCAGGACAGGCCGCCTCTCAGTGTCACGCAGAGACTGAGCGGCAGAACCAGGGTCGAAAGCGAGTCTGTCTGTAGCTCCTGCCAGCTCGCCAGAGGAGGAAGAGCAGCGCCCTCCTCATGGAAGGTGCTCTCGATGAACCCGGCCTGGCTGACTCGCGCTCTGTGCCGCGGCAGCGGGGAACCAACCCACACTGCTCTCACCACAGAGCAGCCACCTGGAAACCCAGCCTGCCTGAGGCCTGGACAGACTCCAGCCTGCCTGCCGTGCGCGAGGAAGGCTGCACAGGGACGTGCAGGTCACTCCCTGCATCCCCCAAGCCAACTGGTGACAGCTCAGCAACAAGTCACGGCTGGGGAGAAAGGAGACGGGTATCACGTTGCTACCTCCATTTCCTGGTCATCTGTTCAGTGGAGGGTCACGAACTCTGCTCTTCGTGGGTGGACACGAGTGCCTGGATGCCGTACATGCCACAGACATTCCTTCCCATTGTGTAACTGCAGGTTAGCAGGAGCCACGCAGCCACCAAGGACCCTACGGCATCTGGCTGCTGCCACGCCTGCATCCTCCACCTGCTGGCCTGCGTGGGAACTTTTCCAGTGTCTCCCTGCTCCAAAGCCTTCCCTCTCAACACAAACCTCAAACTGGGGATCACTCTGCACGCACGCAGCCCCCCAATCAGCCTTCTTCCCCCAGAGCATCTGTCCAGTCACTGGTTACTGTCCTGGAGGCAGCACAAGTCAGGAATGGTAGCAAATGCCTGAAATCCAGGGCTCAGGAGGTTGTGGTCATACAGATCACCAAGATCCTGTGCCAGTCTCCACTACACGAATTCAAGGGCAGCCTGGACTACATAGCGAGACTCTGCCTCAAAAATTTAAAAAAAAAAAAAAAAAAAAAAAAAATTTCAAAACAGCTGGGCGTGGTGGCACACATCTGTAATCTCAGCACTCAAGAGGCAGAGGCAGGAGGATCTCGAGTTCAAGGCCAGCCTGGCTACAAGGTGAGTTCAAGGCCAGGGTGAACTGCATAGTGAGACCCTATCTCAAAACAAAGAAACAAGTCTTCCCAGAGATGTTCTACATCAGCAGTTCTCTACCAGGGGAGTGTGGAGTGGTGTTCTCCCTGGCTGCATGCATCCTCCCCCAGCTCCACCACTGGCAGGCTCCGCCAGCCAGAGTGGGACAGTGCAGTAAGTACACCACTGAACTGACCGCACAGCCAGGGCGTTTCCTGGGGGCTGGGGCAGGCTCACCTGAACAAGACCCCAAGATAGAAACATTTTCAAAACTGCCCTTGGCACCTGCCTGGCAAGCGTGAGGTCCTGAGTTTGAGTCCTGATACCAGAGGGAAAAAAATCCTGCCCTTTCCCTCTCACTGTCTAAGTGTGGAGAGGAACTCTCCAGAAGGCACAGCTGGTTCACAGGTGACCACTGACTGAGGTGGCCAGGAAAGCTCCGCTTATCTCTCTGTCCTGATACCAGGGCCTGGCCTGGCCTGGGCACTAGAGTGTGCCACCCTACATCGAGCCGTGCCCAGCCCTCAGAGGACTTCTAGGAAGCCAGCTACTCATGGCATTTGCAAAAAGGTCAACAGTGTTGCTCATCCTATTAGGTTTTTTAAAAAGTATAGCTACATGCCACAAAAATGTTATTCCATATCCTTATAATGGATATTTATTCTTGTTAGTATTGGTCACTTAACAATAAGTAAAACTGGGGCTGGGGATTTAGCTCAGTGGCACAGCGCCTGCCTGGCAAGAGCAAGGTCGCGAGTTTGGTTCCCCGTACCAGAAAAAAAACAAACAAAAAAGTAAAACTAAGTAAATATTTAAATTTTCCCAGCATTACTAAAGGTACTCTTTTTGTTTTGCTTTGTTTTTTTGAGACAGGGTCTGGCTATGCAGTTCAGACTGGCCTCGAACTCACAACGATCCTCCTCCTTACGTGCACAACACCCGGCTCATGTGCACTCTTTAACACCCTAAATATGGACAGCTATAACCCACAAAAATGAAAGCCCAGGGGTCGCCAATAATTTCAAAGTCTAAAGGGACCTTGAGACTAACAGGTTTGATGACCCTGCTTCTTACCTCTTTTTAAATTAAACTGTCGGGTCACAGAAATGTGTGCATCACTGCTAACTTCACTCTGCGTCCCCCCAGGACAGATCCTGAGTGACAACCTGGAGGTGGGGCTTTCTCTGGAAGAGACCGAGGCAGGCTCCCTTCTGCTGGGGAGCTGCGCACCGGACACGCTGAGTGGGGCACCGTGCTCCACTGGCGGCAGGGGGCATGCCCGCCACACCAGCCCGGCCCAGAGCTTTACCATGAACATGCGGGGCTGCTCCCATCCGTTTTACAGGATGACACACAGGCGCAGCTGGAGGGCAGAAAGGGGCCTCAGATGGTGCATGCACTTTCCCTACTACTGCATGTTGTGGGACCCAGGCATGGAAGGCGAGGCCGGCCCTGCCAGGGGTGCTATTCCTGTGCAGGGCTCACAA